ATACAATTTTATTTTTGCACAAAGGAAAATACCCATGCACGTATATCCTTCTAGAAGAATAAGCAACAAGGTCTTAATAACAGCTGTCTCTGAGGGATAGAATTATGACTATCTGGGCTTTGTTTATACTTGTCCACATAGTCTACATTTCTCATAATCAACACATATTCTTTTAAATCATGAAAAGGTCAAGATGCTTGGGTTTCAGTTTTTGTTTGTCTTTATCTGTGTGGCGTCTCCCCCACCTGGCACTGGGCAAGGCACTGAGACCCAGGAGGATATACTCACAGGAGCTTCGTCCCCAGGCCCCAGCACACAAAGGCTTGCTTTGAGGTAGCCTCTGGCCCCAGCGGAGAAATCGTCAGGATCGGAGAGCAGCAGCCACTTCCTGAGATAGGCATGTCCTAAAAGAGGGGTCATGCTGAGGTAGCCCCAGAATTGGAAGGAACCCATCTGTGGGTGAGTTACAGGTCAAGTGTATTTAGAAGGCAATTCCTCTAGCTCAGATCAGGGCAGAAATCAGGATGTGGAGAAATCCTAGACTCATCACCCAAGTGGCCTGTCCTTGTCTGAAGGGCCCCCAGACTCCAGACCCCTTGTTCAGGCCCTTCCAGATTTAGCACCCCTGCCTTGGACCAGCTGTCGGCACAGGTGAGAGGTGACCTTCCTGAGGACCTGCTTAACCTGGCACGTGGGAAAAAAAACAACCCTGTAACTCTCACCATTGAGATCAACCCCCCTCTTCTCAACTCTAAAACCCCCAGGGAGGAATGGTGAGCGTCCCAAATAGGTGTCCCCAAGCAGCCTCTAGAACCAGAGCACAAGAGTGTGGACCCAGGGGTGAGAACTCAACTCACGGGGCTCTCGGTAGATGGTCCCCACGTCCATCTGAAATCAAAGAGAGGAGACTTGGGTCAGGCCCTTGCCCCTGATGGGCTAGCAAAGTCTGATGCGTCTACAATGTACAATGCCTTGGTAGTCCCGATTTTGAAGAGCATTTGGTGTCATGGGGAACATGGTCATCAGAAAATATTGTAAGGAAAGAGCGTAGAATGCGTTTTCATCCGCATCTGGTACAGTTTATGTATCTCACAGTCATTGAGCCCATTCTGACCCACAGTGCCCCTACAGAATAGAGTAAAACTCCCCCCTGTGAGTTTCCAAGACTGTAACTCTCTATGGGAGTAGAAAGCCCCGGCTTGCTCTCTCGGAACAGCTGGTGGCTTTGAACTACTGACCTAGAGGTTAGCAGCCCAACTTATAACCACTACACCACCAGGGCACTTCAAGCTTATGCACAGAAAAGAAAATACAACAGAATGGTCACAGTGCTCCCCCTGGGTGAGAGACTTGGGTGATTTCCTTCCCAGCCCACCCCACCCCAACCTTTTTATTCTTTCCTGTGTTTTATAATTTTTCTATTTAAAAACCATAAAATGTTTTTATAATGAGGGGAAAATCAGGCCGACACTGATGAAGCCACCTCTTTACAGAAACCCCCAACCAGCTTCGAGTCAATTCCAACTCCCCTCAGCCCTACAGGACAGGGTAGAACTGCCCCAGTCCATTTCCACGACTGCAACTCTTTACAGACACACTCAGCCTCATCTTTCTCTTGTGGAGCAGCTGGTGAGTTCGAACTGTGGAACCCACAGAGCCAGGAGGGCTTCTCTGTACAGCCTGCTTCTCTAGACAAACAGACTCAGTGTTCTACCATGTAACTGCTTCCCGGAGACCACCAAGCTAAACCCACTGCAGTGGAGTCAATTCCAACTCATCGTGACCCGATAGGGCACAGTCCTGCCCCTTGGCATTTCCAAGACTTGTCCATCTTTCCCGGAGCAGAGAGCCTCATCTCTCTCCTATGGAGCAGTTGGTGGATTCGAACCACTGACCTTGAAGTTAGCAGCCCAATGCTCTGCCCACAGTGCTGCCTGGTCTCCCAGAGGGTTTTTATTGGGATCATAGTGGCCGGTTGATATTAAGCCTGAGCTTTGTCTTTCCTTTAGGATAAATGCTTAAAGGTTCAAACATAGGAAAATTGATAAAAGCCTCTTTAAAATCTCATTCAGAGCCCAAATATTAGCTCCTTTATGTCATGCATCTCTGGGTGGTGCACATGGCTGGCCCTCTTGGCTGCAAAACAAAAGGTGCTGGTTTGAACTCACCCAATGGTGTCTCGGAAGAAAGGCTGGGAGACCTGCTTATGGGACACCAGCCACTGCAGACTCTGTGGGTCACAGGTCAGCCCTGACACACGGGCATCACGAGTGGTGCCTCATGCTCTTCCTTACCTCCCCCTGAGCTGACACGCACAGTCACAATGGGCTTCTCACTCCAAACAAGGCAGCAGGCCAGGCAGGTGCCCTACTGTCCCAAAGCCACCAAGAGTCACCTCAGGACCCCACTCCCCAGCCCTGAGTCCCAGTGAGAGCAGGACCTGAGATGGTCACCCAAGTCCCACACTTTGCCCAGGCCCAGGAGGATGGACCTACCAGAGCGCCAGCCCCTCACACCTTCCCCCATGTCCTCCACCCAACTTGGATCTCAGGAAAGCAGGTGAAACAGTTACCCGGAACTCCCCGACGAGGGCGTCTGTCCTGAGCGAGCGGGAATCCACCACCTGGAGGGAAAGACCAGTGAACGCTCACCGTCCCCAGGAGGCGCGAGAGGCCCAGCCTCCCCAAACACAGAGAGCCAGCGCCTGCTCTCAGCCTTGTCTCGGCCTCTCAGGCCCCTGTGCGCAGGCGCTATGACTGCCCCTGAGTCGCAGAGGAAGCAACAGGCAGAGAGACCAGTCTTTGCTCAGATCACCCAGACAAGAGTGAATCCAGGATCTCTATTCTTAACCACGACAGCTTGTATCCCACCGCTCTCCTCCACCTGAGGCGGGGAGCATGGTCAAGGCTCAGAGACAGGAAATCTTGCTGGAAGCAGCCACAGGGTCAAATGAAATCATCTATGAGCCCAAGTGTCAGCTGCAATCAGAGATTTAAGGAGCCTGAGCTGAAGCTCCTGCAGGCTGCTGGGCAGTGGGGCCTCCCACTGACCCGCACCCCCCACTTATCACCTCCCTCTGCACTGCCACAAACCATCCTGTGAGCTAGAGAATCTGGCTGAGAGCCACCCCACAATCTCTGTGACTGGCCTTCACCTTTCTCTCCGCTAACCTCTCTCTCTCTCTCTCACTGACAGATGCAGCAAAGACATACAGGTACACTACACACATATACACGTGAACCGTGCAAACATGCACGCACATGGGTGGATGGTGTGCGCTGTGGCATGTGCACACATGCACGTGGGCACCTGTGTCACACGCACACGGAGCTCACACTCATGCACTGTGACAGGGACGCCCGTGCCAGTGGACATGGCCACATGCACACCCCGCAGGGGGCGCCAGGCTGTACCGTGATAAAGATGGGCTCATCAAACAGCTCGGCCGGCGAGTCGAACACGTTGAAGAAGAGCGTCTATTGTTCCGAGAGAAAAGAAAGACAAATCAGCACCTGCTGATGCCCAGTGGAGGAGAGGGTCACCACGGCCCACCGGCCTGGCCCAGGACGGCGGCCACTTCACTTTAAGCACGTGGCTTTGAACTCAGCCCTGAACCATAGGTTCTGTGTGTCACCGAGAGACAGATAGGTGGCTGGATCCCCAGGAAGACAGGAATGTGGGGCAGAACGGGAACCCCAGAGAGGAGTACCAGCCAGGGTGTATCCGCCAATCCTAGAGAGTTTGCCCGGAGCCTGGTACCAACTCCAACCTGAAGTTAGGGCTGTCTCTAAAACTCTCCATGGCCGGGCCGCATGTCTGCTCTGGGCTCCCACCCCTGCCCAGGCCCCGGCCCTGCTGGCTGTGCCCTATGCCCCTCACCTCGTTGAAGAGGGGGCTGTTTCCCTTGTGGATCCGTGTGCGCTTGCTCTGCCCGGCCACCGTGACTTTGACCACGGGCTTGAGGTTCACGCCGGGCAGCTGGCGGCCTTCGATCACCTGGACCCGAACCTGAAAGCAAGAGGGAAGGCTAGGGAGACAGGATGACGGGAGCGCCTGCCCTCTGACCCCCACCTCCACAGAGTCAGAAACTCCCGGGAAGGGTGTTGAAGATCATTTAAGAAGAATGTTATACAAACAATCCTACTTCCCAACCAAGGTCCCTCAGATCTATAAATGCCACTGTTTCGTACAAGAACTGCCAGCCCGCCCCGTACAAGTGCAACATGGAACCCAGCACTGGGCCAAGGACCCTCTGGGTCTAATCCCGTGAGCCTGCCCACAGCATGGAATTGAAATAGCCGCCTGACCTCCCGAGTCTCCAATTAACGACAAAACCTGAGTGGAAACTAGTCCCTGGCCATTTTTCACACTCATGGAAGACTCTTCATGGGTCCGTCTCAGTGGCAGCTGGATAAATTTGTATGATCTAAATCAGCGGTTCTCAACCTGTGGGTTGTGACTCCTTTGGGGTCGAATGACCATTTCACAGGGGTTGCCATCCAGTCCATTCTGGCTCATAGCAACCCTCTGGGGCAGACTAGAACAGCCCCTGTGGGTGTCTGGGGCTGTAACTCTTCATGGGAGCACAGAGCCCCAGGACTTTCTCTTGATGTGACTGGTGGGTTCAAAGCGCTGACCTTGTGGTTAGTAGCTCAGTGCATGACCCACTATGCCACCAGGGCTCCTGGAAAACATCTATAGCTTTTGTGAAAAAAGAAAACAGTCTATAAGAACATGTCTTCCTTATAGAACGGAAGTCAGACATTTTGACTCTCAACACAGTCAGTCACGACCACTGGGCCTTTGGAGTAAATAAACATGGTTTAGAAATGAAATGTGTCTGTGATGATTTGTTGTACTGAATGAATTCGAGACCTAACTTTCCTGGTTTTAAAGTTAAAAGTCCTACTGAACAATAAACTATTTTTAAAGGCAACTACATCAAAATGGAAAAGAAAAAGGATACGCCAAGGACCCAAATGGCTAGGCAAAGAGAATGGGATGGAGGTTTTGGATACAAATATGTCCCATGGGTTAACAGTAACATC